GTACAGTCCTTCGGAGGTAAAGGAAATTATATGCGCAACGTGAAATTAACTCGCTGCAATGGTGATGTATAATGTATCCTACAACTTGTATATTAATGTAATTACCCACATGATCTGTAATTGTTCGAGTTTGAAAGTATAATTCGTATTGATCTACATGGTAAATTAATTTTATAGAAAACAATTATGCAGTAATCAAAAATAATTCCCGTGCTATCTGTCGTAATAAATATGTAATCTTATAAATATAAAAAAGAAAAATTGATATCTCTCTTTATACGCTTATTATGTATCTTTTGTTAAATTATTTATTATATAAATCATTAAATCGTTAATATATATCACTTCTTTATACAATAATATACAATTATACAATAATTGTTAAATACACTACAAATTATGTGATTCGATTAACTCACGCAACAGTATAATCTAAGCTCTGTGATATAAAGTAAATATTCTTATGCGATATATTATTAAAAAAATTGCATCTGTCACGTGTGGAACAGTACAAACTGTCTTGCGCGCCGATGATCCGTTCGCCGGCAAGGTTACTGCCGTATTATTGGCCTCGCCATGTCAGGAGGGGCATTTTAAAGCAAGCGCCGCCGATGTTTCGAAATTATATGGTAGCATAAGCTGTGGGAGTAGCAATCGTTGGATTTTGTGCAAATGGGCTCTCAGCAGGCCACTCCGCTTTTTCAGGCGCAATTGAATCCGCCGGCACTCACGGCAGTCCTCGAGTCCAGTAGTTGACAAGGTAATTCCAGTAATTCCCTGAATGCACGGTATTTTACAAATTCCTTGCGACCCGGGTACTTGCGATCCGTGTATTTAGCATATTGAGTCATTTCCATAAAAAGCTATTGCAGGATCCCCGATCGGGCAGATTACCGTATTGCGAGCGGCATTAGAAAAACGAGGTGTGATCGCTTTTACTATAATCTTTCCATTGGTAGAACAGAAAAACAGCTCTATTCTATTAGAATAGAAATTTAACTTAAAAGTTTCCATAAATTGACGTTAAATAAATGTAAGTAGTAGTAATCACTGAACAACAGAATGTAATTCTAGTTCCATTTATCTTTCGAAGATTTTATAAAGAATTTTATATAATTGAGCATATTCTTTAATGTATGATATATCAAACAATTTGTTGCATATTTGCTGCACTGTCATTTAAGCTCACTTTGTACATAGATTCCCGAATAATATCCACGAAAAGTCGATATTCGCTGCTTTCGAAAACTTCGTGCATTCTTTCGCGGTGGCGTTAATGTGCGTTAAATGTCACCAGGAAATTTATTGATGGGTCCGTTCCGCCCTGACAAAATTGTACAAAAATTCGATGGGACGAGGGCGCCCATAATCGGCCCAATGAAATTTATGATCCCCAATTTCTCTCTCTCTCTCTCTCTCTCTCTCTCTCTCTCTCTCTCTCTCTCTTTCTCTCGAAAAAGATGAAAATAATCGCGTGAAACAACTGCAATCGTTATAATCGGCTAACCAGAAATTATTCATTCTTCGTTCGCGCTTTTACAATGCGTAGAAGAAAGGTCGAAAAACGAAATGTCGAATACGTATGCGGTGCCGCCACATCTTTAGATAATCGATTGGGTGCGATCATGCGGCAAAAGAAGCAGGAATCTTTTTCCGTTAATTTAATAGGACACGTTTCTGTGCCATTACCTGTTGCGTTCACCATTATTAGATGCCAGGGTGACTCCGACGAAGAAAAATGACGACTGCGTCGTCCGAAAATAGGCATTTCTTATTCATCTTCTTGTCATTACGCATATGTCTCATTCATATTTAACGCGCTTACAAATTCTTGAAAGAGAAGATACATATTTAAGAGGCCGTAGATATATCAGTTATTAAGTTTTTAGTTTACTATAATTAATTAATATTATTAATTTAGTATAATTATATATATTATTTATAATATATACCTATATATATTTTAAAAAATTATATATTATTATTAATTTATTAACATTATTTCGTTAATAGATATATGTAATAATAAAATTTCAATTTAGTAATTATATTTTAATAATTCGAAGAAATATAGATTTGGATAATTGTTTGAAGTAAATTTACAAATTGATATCGTAAAACATTATACAAGCTATTTTCTTGATAAGAGACACATATTTGCGATCAGAAATAATACTGTACTTTTAAAACACCAATAAATCTTAAAAAAAATTTTGTCGTTGTTCTCTAACAATTCCAGAGGAAATAATTCGTAATGCTTTACGCAGTCAATCTCGTGTGCAGTCACTTCTATTTCCAATGATTATTCACGATTAACGTGACAGAATAAAATTGGTAGTGTCAAATTTTATTTTTTAGTTTATTTTATTTAATTATGCATAACACTCGTCAATATATGTGTCGCACACGAATATTTGCCCCGTGGCAGTTGGTAATTATCACATATTATTGCACAGACTAAACTGTTAATTATATTCAGCCGAAGAGAAAGCTTTTCGGCGTGTATAAAGTTAATATAACGAGCTCTTTTATGACCGCGTATTAATATTGAAATTTCGATCGTGCCGATTTGTCCATAGACGCGTGCATGCCGGTATGCATTTCGATTTAATTTCAAATTTTAATTCACATTAATTTTCGTATCAAACTGTCACGTGCCTAATTTATCCGTGTAAAATTTTATATTTCTCCATTCAGCGCCGTCGAACTTATAATTACATTCGCTTCTCATACATTCGGAAATGAAGTACTTTCAACTGGTGGTATTGTAAACATGAGAGCGTTTCGGATGATTATTAAGTTTGCTGGAGACATTTATCATTTTTTAAATTGAAACTAAATGCCAGAGAGAGAGAGAGGAGGGGGGGAGAGGGACACACTACGGATACATATTGCAGTACTCCGGATAATTCGTCAGGATCATTTCTCACCCAAATGGTGCACCGAATGTCTAACAGAACAGCGGGCAGGGAAGGACTCCGCATTAGCGAAGTTTCGTGCTAATTGTACGTAATTAATTATATCATTATTTCGCCGATTAATCTAAGTCGGGCTCACCGCGGTGGCGGTGGAGGATAATATTTTTCCCTCCCTCGCGATGCACGGTATTCTTTGTCGCAACTGCTGCACGAAAGCGATCAATCTAGGGAGATATGATTTCATTTCTTTCTTCTCCTTTTTTTTTTGAAAGACAGAAAACGACATTATGGTACAAAGGAGAAAGATGTTGCCTTCCCGGCGAGATGAAAATTGCTGAGAATATATTGCGGGAATATTTTCTGGCTTTGCCGTACGCGAGAAATCGTTGCAGCAACGATTTAATATTTGAAAACAATTTCGGGACTTTCTGTACATGTTCGTGCGTCGAATGTTTCGGCGAGCATGGCGGTGCATTTTGAAAGATCCGAAATTGATGATTGGCGTAGCGGAAATTCATGAAAAGGCAAACGCGTGGCATACCTGTTTATTTTACCACCGGCGAAATCGAATCACAGATGACGTAGTTACATAAAAGACGAGTCATTTGTCTAGCTTTAATTGTCTCCCTCATGAAAGAATAATCGGTTGTTTAATTGAGAAATTGTGAAATTTAACAAGCAAATTACGACGATATTCTGAGTTCTGTTAAACACGTTTTTAAATATTGCTTTTTCATTAAATTGAGAGAATTACAATTCTAGCATTTTTAATATCAAATCAAATCTCACAAATGATCGTGATACACTGGCGCACAGGTCAATTAGCACCGATTCACAATTAGCGCGATATTTTTATTCCTCGAACTCTACACTTACTCCGCGTGCAGATAGAAGCGTTCATTTATTTATTTATACAGCAGTCGCGTTTTTATCACCATCGCACGCAACTCTATTAAACTTCAGTATATACGGATGTTATATGAGCTGGCAAGTGTTGCATTTACGAGAGAGAAGAATAAATTGAAATATATCGACAATGCATGTGGCACACGATACAAAGACAAATTTGATTTTCCGTAACAGTAAAAGGAACTACATTATTACATTACAGATAAATAAACGAATTATTAATGGTAATTCCTACAGCACTCAATCACTTGTCTTACTTGTCTCCTACTTTGCCTTCTCGTAAAAGTAGGAACTGTATTACTACGTTAGAGATGTATTGCCGAATTATTAACTCTATGGCAATTCTTGCGGCACTTAATCACTTTGCTTACTTGCCAATTATGAACGTCATCGTTTTCGCATTTCGATATAATTATATCGTTCATGCAGCAGATATACATATTTCTCATATTACATTGTTACGCAATATTACCGTACACTTTTTATCTTTATAACTTGAGTTGTAGAATAAGAGTAACGTATCGATTATCGATGCTTACGAGCACGCGTTCCGCTTATAGCGCACGCAACGTTTGTCATCGGCGCGAATAGCAACGTTCTTGCGCGTAATTCTCAGAGAGGTACGGAACTGCCCCGTTCCGTACCTTTACACCGAAGGCTTGTTTGCGTGCCCGCGAAAGTTAGCTCGTCGACAACGCGCAATCCTTTGAGACTAATCTACGCGAGAGTGGACGAACCAGCATTACTCACGCCTGCGAGATTTCCTGCGTGCACGTGCCTTTTTATATTCCGCGTGTTCCTCGTGATAGTACTCACTTGAGAACTGGATCATTTTTTTCCCTACAACGTGCGCGCGCGCGCGAGTTCACTGCATATATATAGTCGAAGCTCTTTTATTCGCATCGCGTTGCCACTCAATTTTTCTCAGTTGAACGGATCTGATATCAAAACATAAATTATGCCGTGCAATTTTCGATGGAAGAAATTTTTGCAGTGAATATTTTGGGGGTAGCAAATATAATATGTATATCACAAAAGGTTCGACAGAGCGGAATATCAAGAGAATCATTCGTATAACCGTGTGTATAGCATGCGCGATTTTGTAATACTTCCGAACACTATTTCCGAAATGTGTTAAAAGAAAATTGTATGAAAACGCGATAATGATTCCTAAGAGAATGCAATTTTTAAGACACATTGATATGATTTATAACTGTTGGCTGGCCGAATGGATAAAAACAAAATGGCCCGCTTTCGAATGATTTACGACCGACCTTGGTTAAGGGGAAAATATCGAAAACCTATCGCCATCAAAAAGCTAGTTCTCAATTGACCTCGGTATAAAATTATTGATTATAAAAACCATTCTAGATTTCCCGATCATTATCTATACATATGTAAAATAATGTTAAAAATTAACAAGGTATGTAACATCATTAAATTAGTGAAATTATATACAATTTAATTTAACATAATTTTAAGAACAGTCGTATTACTTCCGTACATTCGCGATAAGTTGCAAGATTGTTCACGCCTAACGAAGCAATTGAAAAATCGCGGAATAAATTCTAACGAATCCGTGTTCCTTTTAATGAGTCACGTCTTTAAATCTTTAAATTCGCATTCACTTCTTTTCTTATACGTAAATGCTTCCTGCTCTGAAATATTGCGGGATATTTGAATGCGTAATGGTCCGTCTTTCCTTAACGCCCTGCACTACGTCAGGTTTTGGAGGAAATGAAATGTCAAATTTCGGTATTTTCTCTTTTCTGTGCATAAACGTAGAATAATGCATGAAGTTTTACGGGAGAGGGTGGGGAGAGAGGTGGCGGATGGCAACAACGACGGCCAAATGTCGAGAACAAAATTTCAACACTGTGTTCTTCACTAGGGATTAATATCGCTTTGCATACTTACATATTCAAGTAACGCCACGTTTCTTGTCGAGAGGCAGTGGAAAGCGAATATTCTTACTTCACTTATTACTCCGACTGGCGTTAATCGTAATCGAGCATGCATGTCGGTTCGTCGTCGCGTTGCAATCTTTATGGCTCGTAAACAGAAGCCGGCATTTTCTGTAAAATAATATCGGAAAAATTAGTGGCACCTATAAATTTCTACATGTCTTTAAATCGTCTTCCGTAATCTTCAAAATAGCAAAGATTCCACAAGAGAATATTGTACAACGGTCACATAGCTCATAGTGCTCCTATGAATAATTTGCCTGCGTTCTTAACTCGGGATCATATTCCATGTATAATACAACGGGGAAGAATAATACGATATCTAAAGCATTTTGTCGTTAAAAATATCGCAGGTACTGTTGAAAGATATTTCATCGCTAATCTCTTCTAAAGTCCTTCCGTATAGCTTTAGGATTCTGGATATCTTAGGAAATACCGAAGAACTTTCAATCCTTTCCAGCTTACGGATTGCAAATAGTTGTAAAAAGTTTTCAATAAATATTGATTATTTTTAAAGCATAAAATGTGTGGTTTGAAATCAAAATCGTGTAAACAAATTAAATGTACAATCAAGGAAGATTTTTGGAAGACAAAAAATATAAAAATAAATAAATTTGCGAAAGCAGTGTAGTGTCGTTCGAGCAATTTTAACGTGGTAATCCGTGAATAACGAACGATACAACGCGATACCGCCGCTGTATAAAACACGTACGCCGCGGCATTCCGTTTACTTTCCTCAAATTCACGGTAGAGCGGAGTCAGGAATGGCATTCGCGAACATTTCCAGAATGTCGATATCGAGGAGAGACACACAGTCTAAAATGTCGGCGGCCTCGGAACGACGTTTAAGATCTGACGTTCGCGCACACTGTGGGTATACATTCCTCCTGATAAAATTCAGTCACCCTTCTTCAGTTCCTACACTTCCGCCGTATATTCGCTGCCGGAGGACGGGACGTGGGTCGCGACACGCGAAGTAAAAAGGAGGGACGATGAAGGAGAGTATGCTGATGGTGGAAGGAAAAAGGGATAAGAGAGAATACGGGGTGAATTACAGGATGCGTGCTGTTTCCTTTTCTGGGTCGTCTCCGCTCCGCATTTTTTCCCCAATGGTTTTCACGAGCTCTGGAGGTACTGCATTATATGCATCTTTTATAAAAGCGAAGATAAACCTCTAAGTTTTTCCTTTTTACATGTACATTGATCTTATTGTAGCAGTTTTTAAGCTCAATATATTCATGTATCAAAAATTCAACTGGCCGCAATTATTAATGTACATCGCGTTGTTAAAATCGTGTGCGTTGTGGAAGAATTGCGGAAAAAATATGTTACAGTTTGAAACATTAATTTCGTAATATTAAATGTAAAAGTAAATAAATATTCATTTAATTTTTTAAAACATTTTTTTTTAGCTTCTAGTTTTTGTTATCCTTCATTGCTTTGGAAAATAAATATTAAATTAGAATGTAAAAAAGAGTACTTAAGTATACAGAATAAACGTTAAGAATACACATTTATTTTAATTTATATATGCAAGTAAAATTCATTTAAAAAATATGTCGCAATAAATTTTAACATGTAAATTTTAGTCATATTATGAAACTATATTATATTTTTTTTGAATAGGCTTTCCATAATTTCTTATAAATATGCATGCATAGAAAATTATCTTTCAATAAATTTGGCTCTTAATTTCATTTTACGCACGTCACTTTAATAAAATATATTAAAATTTTGCATAAGTTTTTAAATTGAAGCTTTTTCGCAAAAAATATGTACATAAAAAATTATATTTTTTGTAAGAATGCTGCTTTCAGTTGTTTGTTTAAACTAATTTTATTTATATTTCATTTCTAAGTTACTTATCTACGTATATTTATCTATATATATTTAAAGTAACTAAAGGACTAAAGAACTACTTGAACTTTGATCGTTGCTTTACTAAAGTCATATATTCTCATTTCTATATTTAGAAATAAGGAATTCGATAAGATTTTCGTACAATTTACCGGACCTCCATTTTTCTTATATGTTCGACAGAAACGTAAGATTATTTATATTGAAATTATTCATAGCACAAATCGATGCACCAAGCAATATTTCTGAGTAACAGTATTCTTCGATGTGAAAATGTGCGCATAAAATCTATTTACATATATAACACCTTTTTATAATATAATCAATATATGTATGTTTTTTCACACTTATGATACTCATCTTCCTGTACCTTATCGCGTAACTCATTTGGGCCGTGAATAACGTGACATTTCTTCGCGATGTCGCGCCCCAACTGTCGATACGCAACACGTCCTCGCGCGAGACAAATGTATTAGTCGCGCGGATTCGCGCGAGGAAAAGAAAAAAGAAAGAAGGGGGGTCTCGCGTGACGCGCATTTGCAACCCAAAACAGTACAAGCCGACACACGGTCGGCTCGCATATTCGCGGACTCGCTACGCTTAATGCATTAAACGGGATGACTCGCCGCGGTCGTCTGCAATAGCCGCCACAATGGAATTCAATTTTCGCAAGCGTGGGCACGAATGGCCGTCGATAAAGAATAGATAGATCCGTCGTCCGACGAATGAAGGAAAGAGACCGACACAGGCTTTTAACGGGGAGCCTCCACAGCTTCAGAGCCGCTTTGTCCCCCCCCCCCACCCCTCCAACCCCCGTTTTCCTCCCCTCCGACCGCGCGCGAGCTCTCTAGCTTGCATAGATCGCGTCCCCCAGTCCCTCCTCTTCCCCTCTCAGGCTTACATGAACACCGCCAACTCTCCATGGCCGGGAGAATTCAGATAGCGGATACCGGATGCTATTACGCGCTACATATATATCTCGCGAACTTTACAGCCAGTAGACTGCGATACTCCGAGGAATTTACAGTCTGAAAGATATTGCCTGACGATATACCACGGACGGCACTTCGCGCCTTTCTAGGCTCTATGTAGAGCAGGGAATCGGCGGAGATGGAAGGTCCCGTGGGATAAGGAGATGATTTCTGTCCTTAAGAGGGTCTACCGGGGTGGCTGTGTTGAAATCTTCCGAGGCCTATCCCCAGTTCCTCTCTCTCTCTCTCTTCTCTCTCTCTCTCCCTCTTCCTATCTCATTTCCTTTCTACATTTCTCCCACACCCTCGTCGAGCGCACCGTGCCGCCAGAAGAAGAAGAGAAACACCATAATGCCTGTCCATCTGTCAATCCGACTTTCTCCCTGTGTGTACCTTCGATCTTTCGCCTACCAGGGAAACGCAACGGCGTGGCCGTCCCATTTCGAGCGATTCGTGGGCGGACGGGTGGGAACAATCGTGAGCTTTTGTTTAATTCCGAGATTGCGCCACGAGACACTCGTCTCGAACGTTGGCGCGCGCAGATGGGACCTCTCTCGCGCGCGCGAGAGTTTTTCCTTCCACGTTTCATTAGAGAGAAGACACTCGATAGCCCGGACGGCTTCCTTGCGTAAATTTATCGTCTCGCTTGGAAAGTTTGATCGGGATTAAAATCACGGTGCGATCACGGAGCGGAGTAATGGAGCGCGTTTGTTCTACTTGAGCGAGAGTGTTTGGGGACGCACGACAATAGATATACCTACGGTCGCGCCAGCGATCTTGGGTCACGTTACCTTGGACAGAGATTTTGTAATATTTTATAATATAATTTTATTAGAACGGAAAATTAAGAGCCTCTTTTGCATGAATTCCTGGAACAGAGTTAAAACCCCCTCGTTGTATAGCCATCTATATTTAATACTTTTTAAGAAGTTAATTTAATTAATAGTTTCCAAGTAATATATTGACTGTTAAGGCAACGTAATAAATATTTAATAGTATGAACCTGATAAAAGAATTTAATCAGAACTATTATTAAATTTATTACATCCCGATACCGTACCGGTTAAGTGATGAATAAACGACTATTACATTTGCAACTAAAATTTAAAAAGTCACGTTTTTTCGCCATAAAAATTTAAACTGAAAAGTTAGGAACGCATAGTTTAAATTTGCGCGTGTACATACAGGACGAACGCGGTATTGGTTTTAGGTCACGTTTTATAGGTGGGAAATTTCTGTTTCGGCAATTTTCCGAGCAAAATTTGAAAACATACTTTTGTGCCGGTTGCATGTTTTGCCCGTAAAAGCGAGCGCCGATAGTGACCGCCAACCTTTCCTCCATTTACAGAAATCCTGGAGGAAGGATTCAACTGATACGCGTCTAAGCCGAGGATCCTGGAAAACTGTGCGACCGGCCAGAGGGTCGACTGGGAAACAGTACCTCTTCTTGCGCGCAAAGAGGATCAAGAAGCCTTATCGTATTTGCTACCTAGACGGAAAAAAAGAGCCAAAGGAGAGACGAGAATCGGGGTGGAAGGAGGAGAAGGAGGGGAAAGAGAGAGAGAGAGAGAGCGAAAGGCACAGGGAACTTGAACGTGGCCCGGAAGAAAGGTTAACCTGATGAGATGTCGGGTGTAGGCAGAGAGATGGAATCCCGGGCGAGACGTTCGAAGATCTCGTGATTGGTGTCAGCGGCTGGGGATAAGGTCGATCGCACGGGAGATCGACCGTGATGGAGGTCGCGCGAGTGAACGACTCGTTCGTCAGGTCGATCCTTCGGAACCACTCGCTGACCCGCGAGCATCGGCTGCACCTGGACGAGCCACCCGGGGGTGAGGTGGCCACGAGCGCCGTCGATGTCGTCGCCACGATCGTGCAGGAGGAGAGGATGGCGGACTTTCTGGGCGACGCCCTCGCGAGGAACGACAGCGACGTCGTCGATGGCGGCGAGTCCGGCTGGTTCAACGACTCGACGACCGCCGCCGTCTCGACCCTGTCCGATTCCTCGTCGTCGTTCGCGGACTCCACGTACTCCACCCCGAGCGTCGACAACTACACCGGCAGCGTGTCCGACCTCTTCGCCTTCGACGACCTGAGTGACTACATCAACCGACTCAACTACAGCCTCGTGAACCTGACGGCCTACGACGGCGGCGCGGGTCTGAATTTCAGCAGCGTCAACTGCACGTCGTCGATAGTCGCCGGGGGTGCCGTTAGGCCGGGCGAGTGCGCCGGGACCGCCGGCGTCGACGAGAAGTCGAACGCGAACAGCTGGTGGGCCCT